TCCCCATTTCTTCAGGGGTTTTTTGGGAATTTTAAAGCATGTAACTGAAGATGTTCCTGAAATATTCCCACTGAAAGATTCCAACACGTTTTTGCCCATTGTTTCCCCAGTTTAAACACATTCATGCATTATTGGGGGAAAAGGAAAAAATTCCCCAGTTTTCTCCCCCACGGTGTGTGTGTTTTTGAAATATTTGTGTTTGTGGTGTACTGTGTATTGTTGGTTTCCCCTATTTTTTTCCATAGGGGCTAAAAGAAAAACCAAATTTTCGCGTGCATTTTCCCCAAAACATGGCCATTTCCACGGGGTTTTCCAAACGAGGGGGATTTGGGGAAAAATTGGGAGTTTTTCCTCCCATCCCGGGGCGGTCGCGGGGACGGATTTGGGGGAGTTTTTTTTTGGGGATGGGGGGAGGCCTGGGTTGGGGCTGGTTGGGGGGGTGGGTGGGGGATGGGGGGCCCTTTTGTTGTAGATCATGAGGCAGGGGTGGGGGGGCAGCAGGGCCCCATGCTGGGCCTCACAGCGGCACCACCACTACCCCCCCAGCCCATTTTCCATCCCATTTGCAACACTACATCTTCATTTTCACTATCTGTTCTGTTTACAGCCAGGGGGATGAAACCCCGAGATGTACCCTTTAACCTTCGGGGCCCAAAGGCCAAAAAATCTGAAGTGGTGCCCAGTGTCTAAAATTTTTCAAAAAAAAAAAAATTGTTATTTTTTTTTATGAAAGGTAAAAAATCTTTTTCTAAAGGGTTAAAACAAAAAAGGAAATTTGAGGGAAAATTGACGAAATTATGCTCTCGCGAATTTTTGTGTGTCGCGATTTACGAATCAGCAATTTTGCCGAATTTACCCCCTTTTTGGGCCAAATTTACATATTCCTTGACCAAAATTTTTAGCATTTCACTAGATTACTTCTATTCTATCGATCGAGCACAAGAAATCGCCAAGTCACTGTTTCAACTACAAAAAAATGATCGGGGAAATTGGGAATTTGGCCCAAATTTTAAAACAAATTCAAAATTTCCCAAATTTTAATACAGGTCCAGATCACAAATTTGGTTTCCTGGCCTAAAAAAAACATTCCTCTATTCTTAGTTTTTTTAGGCTTTACAAATAAATTCATTTTGATTTTTTATTTACATAAGGAATTTTTATTCACCCCCCAAAAAAAATAGAAAAATTACTGTTAGCAATATTTTTAATAATTGTATAAATTCATCACCCTTTTGTGAAGTAATTAGACCCACCACTGGTGTTTTAGAGTGTGAGGCGTTTGTTTACTCTTTAACATCGGCAAAATTCAACATTTTTCCCCTACTTTTTAAAACTCATTTCAAGCCTTTCCAGTGCCAAAAACATTTAAAATCACTTATTTCTGTAATATTCTTCCATTCATCAAAAGGGAAACCCAAAAAATCGCAAATACAACTATAAAAAAAAATACGAAAAAACACTGCAAAGTCGGTTTAATCGAAAAAAAGGTCTCAGTTTTTTTCTTCATTTACACATGTGCTGCAGGATTTTTTTTTTTTGGTGCACAATACCACACAGATTTTCTCTATATCTAGGCCCAAAAATTTTCCCTTACAGTTTATCAAGTGAGCTGATCTCAAGGGTAGATCTACAGTTTGGACCCGAACATAAAGCCATAGATCTACGGGAGGGCCCCCGAAAAGGGGTTAAAATTGGAATGCATATGGCACACTACAAGAGGGGCATATACCGTCGATATACGAAGCTTCACTGGGGAATATTTCCCCTTCACTATCACTATTTAATGTTTTCAAGCTTGTGGTTCATATTCACTATACTTTTATCTCAATGCTCAACTGAGTCCGGGGCATGGGGAAAAAAGGTTTTCCTCTTTTTGGGTTCTGGACAAAGAATGTGAACAAGATGCCCCGCCCAAAAATGGAAGGGGAGGGGTTGTCTGGATTTTCCTCACTAATTTCCGGGATTGTGGCTTAGTTTCGGTCACAACCCCATCAAAAACCCTTTAAACTCATCTTACTGGAACTTTCCCTCGTATTTGAACTGTCCTGGGGGAACAAAGTGTCCCCCAAATTTGTGAGGAGTGTGAGTCTCTTACGCAGGCAGGTGAACAAGGTCTTTAAAAAAGGGGTTCCCCCATGCGCCACGGGTCCCAAATTTTTTTTTATCACGCCACCAACCCCGCAGACCCATTTTTTTTCACATCTAGGCCTACCAGCTTTTCCTGCTTAAAGGGAAACCCCTAAATTTATGCGTACTAGTACGGCACCGACCCCGGCACACAGCCGCCTAGTACAGCACCAACCCTGAAAAAGGTTTAAAATGTCCCAAAAATAGATTTAATTTTACTGCCCGCGCTCCAAATATTTGAAAAATATTTTTTTTTAAAATTAAAATTTTTGGGGGCCCGAGGGGAAATTTTAAAATGGTGCCAGGGTCCAAGAATTTTCAAAAAACTTTTTTGTTATTTTTTCTTATGAAACGGTAGAGAATCTTTTTCTGAAGGTAATAAAACAAAAAGTACAATATATGATGGAAAATTGACGAAATTATGCTCTCGTGATTTTAATGTGTCAGCGATTTTACGCATCGGTGGTTTTGCCTGATTTATACTCCCTTTTTAAGGCCAATTACATTTTTCCAGTCCACCAGATTCCTAGCTAATTCGCTAGTTTTGTTTCTATTCTATCGAATGAGCACAAGAAATCACCCAGTCAGCTGTTTCAACTACAAATAAAGTGATCAGAAATTGGTAATTTGGCCAATTTAATGCAAAGTTCAAAATATTCCAATTTAAAAATAGGGTCCAGAATAAACAATGCAGGCATTCCTGACACTAAACTAACATTTCTTCTGCTCATTAGTTACATTTTCAGGTTTTACAAGTGAATTCCATTTTGATTTTTTATTCACATAATAAATTTTTATTCACACCAAAAAATAGAAGACTTACTGTTATGCAATATTGTAATAATTGTATAAATAATATCACCACATTTGTGAATGTATATTAGACCCAGCAGCTAGCGTGTATTAAACGTGTGAGATCATTTGTTTACTCTTGAAAATCGGCAAACATTTAACATTTCCGCTATTTTGAGCTCGGTTTCAAGCCATTTCCGTTAATAAAAATAATAAAAATCATCTCTATTTCTGTAATATATCTTCAATTCTATCAAATGAGAGAAAGAAATTGCAAATATAACTATAACAAACACATGAAAAAAACACTGCAAAGTCGCTGTTTTAATCAAAAATTAGTCTCAGTTTTTTCTCATTATGCACTGTGTGCTGCAGGATTTGTTTTATGTGGTGCACACATACCACATAGATGTATTCTCTCATATCTAGGCCCAAATTTACCACTCTGAGCTTATCTGAGTGAGTTGAACTCATGGCGTAGAACTACGGTTTGGACCCTCAACTCAAAGCCGTAGAACAACGGCACAGACCCTGAAAGGGTTAAAGAGGGCAATTTTCTGTGTTATAAGACCAAAAAAAAAAAAATTTCAGAACTAGTACTTACTGAGATATAAGACCGTGAAGTTGTTGTTGGATGCTCACCTGACAGCAACATTAAGTCCTGCCGCTTGCAGAAGTGTTGCCGATATACCTTTTTTTCTTGTTTTTATTTTAATTTATATATTTTGTATGTTCTGATAATTACAATTTATAATAGTTCTTGTGATTTCAAAGCCAATCTATGTTCTGACACTAATATTAGGTACTGAAATAGTACTCAAATACAGTAGGGCCCCGCCTTACAGAGTTTCGCTTTATGGCGTTCCGCTAATGCGGCGATGTAAAATTACAACCAAAATTTGCTATACGGCAAGCGGTCTTTCAAATACGCGGTGACCTACCCGGTTTGTTTACATTCTACGTGACCACATCTATTAAGTCAGGAAACTTTCCAAAATTTCAAGTGTTTTAACCCTTAAATGGTCCAAACATATATATACGTTTTTTCAACATCTGAAAGTATGTAAAAAAATGTAGATCTTCTTTTTTGTTTTACATTTGAAAATGTGTAAAAAAAACCTTTTATCTACATTTTTTTTGTTACATTTGAAAATATGTTAAAAAAAGTAGATCTACTTTTGTAGCACTACGAATTTGAACGTCGATTTGTTTGGACCGTTTAAGGGTTAAAGTTACTGCGTATTTTATATGTACTCTGATAATTATACTTACGTGTACCTGTATTCAAATATACTTACACACTGTGCTGGTGTGCAGGTACCCATGAAAAGTGCTAAGAGTCTCTCTACTCATGAGGCCAATACTACGTAATAAAATCACTCTTGGGCACACTAAATGTCTTATTTACATTAATATAAGCAATTTTCAAATTTAAACCATCTATGATATTTTCCTCAAATTATATATAAAACCCGTTACATAGCAATAAACACGATACATACACTCACAGAATAAAATTGACATAAATATGAGATTTGTTTTCAAAGCTGCTGTGTAGGTAGTGTCGGAAGAAATTTAACTTTTTCTCTAGTCAAACTGGGGGATAACTGTAGAAAAATATTTTTTTTTGATGCCTTCACTCTATATATAGAAATTAAAAACCCTTGTGGGTTTTAGTGTTTTTTATGATAATAATAAATAACAAAAACAAAAATAATAAAATAAAAATAATAATAATAAAATTTATAATAATAATAAAAAATAATAATGCCGGGACAAGGAGAGTAACCCTTCTCCTGTATATATTATAAATGAAAAAGGGAGAAACTTTTGTTTTTTTTTTTGGGCCCCACCCCACCTGGGGGATACCCGGGTTTAAAAGAAAAGAAAATAATAATATTTCATTCACTCTAAAAATGGGTGTTGCTGTTGTTTTTCTGTAATAACTTGTAAAACTTGTACACAATGTAAGAGTATTTGTATTGTGGGGAATTATTTTATAATAAAAAATATTGAGGTAATTTTTAAAAACCCTTTTACAAATGTTACACAAATAACCCCACATAAAAGAGAGAACTTACGACGATGTCGTCGAAGCTTCTCTTTTTATGGCGGTTATTTGAACGTTCCACAGGGAAATTGGGGTTTTTGTTATTTTCTTACAAATTACGTAAATGAACTAAAAGTGACACATTTTAGTACGCATTTTTTTGCCTGACCAATATCGTCACTACCTGTTCAGTTTGTATTCTTACTTTGTCTGAACTCTGTATCTCTTCTCTCTCTCTTTTTACTCTTATTTAATTTGTTGCTTATTGACGTGGCTCTGGGTTTTTAGCTGTGATAAAAAGAGGAGTCGTAAGCCTTTTGCTTTAAGTCCCAAATTTTAAGGATAGGGACCTTTTGATTTTATTAAATAAACACCCTGCCCTACCTCTCACAATTAATATTAATATTTTGGGGGCAAGTAATGGGTTATCTTGTGTATCTACCTTTTAGTTTTTTTTAATGCCTTTTCTATTGCAATTAATTAATTAGTGTAAACTTTTTGTCTGGCTTTTATTCAATTTTATATGTGCCATAATAATACTTGTGGCCCCTGGGGTAGCCCCCCCGGAGGGAAACATTACGCTTTCTACTCACCAAAGAGAAAATGTGTATAAATCTGCGTTTGCCCACCACTCCCCACCCGATTTTGTTACAATTTTCAGCATGAATTATTCTTTACCTCCCCTTCGCTTTTGAGGGCATCAAAAGGTATTTTAGAAGAAATTTTAAATTCAGTGAACATGTTATGTCGATGCTATAATATGCGGGGGGCCACAGTGTAGGTACCCGGTGGGTGTAGCCAGGGGGGCTACCCTACCATACCTACACTAATTTCCACAAAAAAATATTTTCACCTCTCTTCCTAATTAACCCTTGGGGGATCGACAGGCCCTCTCAAGACTTTTCTCAGGGTGGGCCCAAAATTTTAAAAAAAAAAAAAAAATTATTTTTCTTATGAAAATAGAGAATTTTTCCCAATCAAAATGACCCCAAAAAGTATGAAATCGATGGAAACTTACAGAATTATGCTCTCAAAAATTTGTGTCTCGACGCTGTTTAGGCATTGGCAATTTTTGCCCCTTTGAGCCCTACTTTTCCCCCAAATTCCAGTGCACTATTTACAAAAACATAACTATTTTGCTAAAACTCCCATTTTTTTATCAAATAGTCAAGAAACCCCCCTTTTTTTCCGATTTAATTTACCAATAAAGTGGTCAAATTTAGAAATTTTGGGGGCCAATTTCACACAAATTTTCAAAAACCCAATTTCCAAATGGGTCCAGAATAAAAAAGAAAGACATTCCTGTACTAAAATAACAGTTCTCTTCGTTGTCACATCCCCAGGCCCCTCTTATATTTCTTGGTTTTCCCTTCAAATTTTTATTCTTACAAAAAAAAAAAAAAAAGATTTATGTTATGCAGACTGCTGCTTTGGGTAGAAATTGTATAAATATATCAGCGCACTTTAAAAATTTTAGGCTCCTTGATGTGTATTGAACCTTGGCATATTTTTTACTTTAAACTTTGGTAAAAGTCGAACTTTTCGCTATTTTGTAAAATCATCAAAATGCCAAATTTTCTGTAAAATGTCTTCCATTGTATAAAATGAGACCAAGAAAACTAGAATACAACAATAAATACCAAATAAAATCTGCAACGCGCTTTTTTAAAACCAAAAAAAACACGGTCAAAGTTTTTTTTTCCATTACGTACGTTGCTGCAGTATTTTTTTATAACGCAAAAACTGACCACACAGACCATTCTTACATATGTAGGCCTCCCCCTTTCTTCACTAGATTTAGGGCCAGAATTTGGGCGTACTATATGTAAAAAAACCCGGGGTCGTAAGACGTACTATACTCCGAAACCCCCAAAAGGGGTTTAGACGCACATATTTTAAGTAAATTTGATGACGTATGTGTTTTTTTTAACCTCTGGGATTTTTAAATATCTATCAGGGTCCCCCGTTTTTTCGTAGTTCAGGCAACGTAAATTCCCCAAATTTCATGGGGAATTTTCAATAAACAGGACTCCTTTTCTTTATCACGAACGTAGTTCGTCGGGGAGCGTACCATGGCGTGGCCTCTGGCATTGTTTCCCAGTGAGCAAAGGGCCCCCTCGCGGCCCCAGCAAAAATTTTTCTAATTTTCCATTTTTTTTAGTGCTTGCAAGTACTAAAAAAAACTACCGGGCTCCAAAAAAACTCCTAGTCCCAAGCCTGTGGTAAAGAAGGTGAGAAAAACGATTGATTTAAAAAAACCACCATTGAACAATATGAAAGGGACAATGGGGCCCCCAACTGTCAAGGATTTTAAAAAAAAACCCTACAAAACCCTTATGTTCCATGTGCCAAGAAAAATGAAATAAAGGATACTGTTGTTGCAAAGGGATAACATGCACAAAAAGAATCACCAGTCCCCGGAAAAGGGTTGAGAAGTTATTATTGGTGTGGATAAATGAAAACAATTAGCGGGAAATACTCTTAGATTTCTTTTTTTTGTGAAAAGGCTGGCATTTTGCTGAAGATTTGGTAAAAATTGCCTGCAAATAGGGGTGAATGGGGAATTTTAAGGGCCCAGCAAAGGCTGGTTTGAGAGATTTAAGAACCACTCATACCGTGGGTGGTGGGGGGCTGCCAGTTGGGACCACAAGGGGCTAAAAAAATTATTGTTAATTCCAGGAGTACAAAAACAGTGAAGGACAAAAAAACCCTGAACAATTTCAATTGTGACAAACAGGCCTCTTTTGGAAAAAATGTCAAAGAGGACCTTCTTTAAATTTTAGGGAAGTGTTAAAAGAATGCCAAAACAACCTTCCAATTATTTTGTGAGACAGGACCCAGTGACTCTAAAGGTGGTCCTATGGCATTTTATTTTATTTTATTTTTATTTTTTAAAAAATTTTTTGACACATCAGAGGTACAAAAAATACAGAAAAAGCAGTATGCCAAACCCTTATACATCATAGCATACGGGCTGGCTTAAAATTAATTTAAGATAACAAAAATGATGACTCGGTGATAAAATTTAAAATGAAAACAGATTACTAAAAGCACAAGTGAGTATTACAAAAGACAGCAAAGGTTTGTAGCATTGTTGTACATTCATAGAATGAAGTTTTTCTGTTGATAGTATTTAAAAAAAAATTTAAAGTTAGTTTGGGTTTTTTTGGGTTTTAACATTTATTGATAAAATTTGTGAAAACTTTTAAGATATAAAATTTATAAGGTTTCATTTTTATTCAGTATTATTGTTTTGGGGTGAGTAATGATTTTTGAAAAACTTAAATTTTAAAAACGGGTTAGTGTTTCTTTTATATTTACAGGAAATGAGTTCCAGATTTTAGGGCCCTTTTTAAAGTCATTGGTTTTTGCAGAGGTGAATGGACAGGGGAAAACAAAGAGTGATCGGGCCTTTTGATGGTCATGTTCTGTTGAGGTTTGGGCAAGGAATTTTGAGGGGGGGGGTTAAATATCAAAATTAATGTTCTTGATTAATAGGTCAGTAAAAAGAAATGAATGTTTTGTAGGGGAATGGGTTTAGTGTATTGAATATTGGGGAGGTGTTGCCTATAGTGAGAATTTGTTATCATTCAACTGCAGCCTTTTTTTGGGGGTAATTAGTGGTTAGAGGGTTTTACTTGTTTTTGACCCCATGCACAAATTCCATAGGGGTATAGGGGTAAATAAAGGTGAATAGGGCCAGGGGGGTGACTGGGGACATAGTACCGTATCTTCGATAGTATCCTACATTTGGGAAAATTTTTCTTAGAAATTTTTTGTTTTGTTAAAAAATTTGAGTCATTATCAAGGGGGATTCCTAAAAATTTTCCCCTCGTTTTTTTGTGATAGGTGATCCGTTTCTATGTTAAGAGGGACATCTGTAGCTCTGTTACCAAAAAAGAATGAAGTAGGTTTTGTAATGTTTAGTGAATTTTTAGTCCTCATCCAGGGAGATATTTCTGTAATTCTTTTATTTACAGTATTGGCTAGCGTGCTGGGCTCGGGTGGGAAAGACGTATGTAGTGTCACTGAAATAGTGTGGGTTTTAGTAATTGGGGAAGCATTAAAAAACAGAGAAAGAAGCAAAACCCCCGAAAGCAAAAGGTACCCGAGGTTTAAAGGGGGGAAAAAAAATTTAAAAAAAAAATATTTTCCTTATTCCCATAAAAAAAAAAAAATAAAATAATTAAAATTTAAAGTTTCATTATCATTTCCCATTGAATTTTTTTTTTCCCCCTTAAACTTTAAAAATTTTTTTTTTTTAAAAACCCGGGTTTAGTAGTTTTGGGGAGACACAACCCAGGGGGGGTAAAACCTCCTGAATAAAATTAAAAGAAACCTGTAATTGTTTTAAAAAAGGAGGATTCTGGGGTTCCTTTTTTCGGCCTGAAACAAAGAAAGAAAAATTTTAGGTCGTCTTCTACTTCTACTTACACTTAGGTCACACTACACATACATGACAAAACAATATATAACACCCCTCGGGTTTTCTTCTATTTTTTTTATTTTTTATTTTGTTTTTTCCCTTTTCTCCTGGGGAAGGAACAGAATTCCTCCTCCGTAACCATGGTGTTTTAAGAGGCGACTAAATGCCGGGGGCAAAGGGGTAGTAACCTCTTCTCCTGTATATATACTAAAGAAAAGGAGAAAAATTTTGTTTTTTTCCTTTGGCCCCCTCCTCGGTGGGGATACGGCCGGGGTGTTAAAAAAAAAAGATTTTGGGTGTCAGGAACGGAATTTAATTGTATGCACATTATTTTTATGGGGGAAAATTTTATTCGTAAAATCGTAAATTTTTTTTTTAATAACGGGTCCAGGAACGGATTTAAATTTCGAAAAACAGGGACCCTGTATTAAATATAAAGGGGGGCCAGGGCTCCTACCCACTTCCCACAAATAAGTACTACTCAACCCCTCTCCGACATTAAGTTACAAAAACAGTGGCCCTGTTTTTTCGTAGTTAAAACCGTTCCGGATTGCACTATTAACGAAATCTACGATTTGGAAAAAATTTTCCCCATTAAAAAATAATGTAAATACAATTAATCCGTTTCCCGACACCCCAAAAAATATTAAAACAAAAAAATTTTTTTTTATAAATATACATG